GGACAATTTGTTCTCTTAAGTATTATAAATATTCAACAGATTCTTGTTTGTACTACTCATTAGCTTTTTGTGTAAAAGAAGAGGGTTCACCCAGTAAAGATGAACAGTCGCTATAGTCCCATCCTGGTTAGTTAGGGCAATAGTTGTTCTTAGCCACAGCTCACAAAACCTCTACCATCCATTTCTGCACTTGCCAAATACCTAGTATCTTTACTAATGCAGTGAAGATACAGTGTTTTCCACATATAGTCTTCACTTTCTAGTAAACTTGGTTAACCTTAGGTCTTGGTTTGCCCAGAACAGTCCCCATCTATGCCTGTTGTCCTGGCATAATTATGAATAGCACTCTCTGTCACTCTCAAAAGTGTCCCAGTTTGGATGATATGGTCACCTGAAGCAGACCACTTAAGAAGTCTGATTTAAGGGTAAGCCTAAAAGCCAAGGACCTATTCTCAAACCACTAGCAATACTCATGCGGTAAAGGTATGGGGATGAGAACAACAATGGGGAGAGACTTTCCCAAAAATTAAGGAATATTTGGCATAATGCCAAACATTGTTATATGGGCATTTGGCAAGGACTGAGGCACTTAGCTTTTAAGCAAATTGTTCCAGATCAAACAACTAGTACGTGGTAGAGCTGGGATTTGAGCCCAAGCAGTGTGATTCTAGAGTTCAGATTTGTTGAGACATTCCCCAAAGAAAAGACATTAGAAAATGGTGTGAAAACAAGGGCCAGTCTGTTAAGTACATTTGACGTATCAATAGGCAGACTGTGAAATGCACAAAAGAAGATGGCCAAAGGAGTAGGTACCTTTATAATATATTTGCTTTCCTGCTTCTGCCAACAAGTAAAGGCAGGAGAAATCAACGAAAGTGGCACAGCCCAACCTGACCTGCTAGTTCAAAAACTACCTTTAGCAATAATGCCCAAGGTAAGTCAGTCAAGCAACTTGCTCAGTGGCACCGCACACAGGAAAACTTTGGAGCCATGATTCAAGCTACTTTTTCTGAATTCAAGTACTCTGGCTGCAAATCCATTGTTTTGGAAAAGGTTTTCTTCCCAACTTAAGGACCGTATGGTTATTAAGCGTGTGGAAAACTGAGGTTAGGGACTTATTGCAAGGTTTGTGTTCTGTCTTAGTCATAAACAAGGCTCCAGCCTCCCTGTGAGATTTGCTGCAGAAATACGCTGCCAATTACAAAGCCTCCTGCAACAGTTTATCTTTCACCATAGTTGAATCCTCTTGCCAATTGAGGATACTGTTTCCAGTTTAAAAGCAAAGTTCCCAGGTTGAAGTGTTCAGTTACCTGTTTGTTTGCTACATCTGAAAGAACACATAAAATAATCTTTTTTCATGTCATCTGATTAGACTAGATTTTTGGGTGTCAGTTGGTCAACCTTACCATCTCCCTTCCACTGCCTATCTAGTAAGGTCGAGGACAAGTCCCATTTCCTCTTTATAGCGCCCACCTGTCATGATCTCATCTTTCAATTCTTTATTGTTTAAAGTATTACATAAATCTCCTTTTTCCTCCATTGACCTCTCCCCAGTCACTCCCAGCACCCAGTACATACGCTCACCCGACTACAGTCTGTGTCCATTGGTTATGCTCATATGCATGCATACAAGTCCTTTGGTTGATCTCTTACCTCCCCTTCCCCTGCCTTCCCTCTTAGGTTGGACAGTCTGTTCGATGCTTCTATGACTCTGGCTCTATTTTTGTTCATCAGTTTAATGTTGTTCATTATATTCCACAAATGAGTGAGATCATGTGATAATTATCTTTCTCTGACTGGCTTATTTCGCTTAGCATAATGTTCTCCAGTTCCAACCATGCTGCTGTGAATGGTAAGAGTTCCTTCTTTTTTACAGCAGCGTAGTAACCCATTGAGCAGATGTACCAGTTTTTTAATCCACTCATCTGCTGATGGGCACGTAGGCTGATTCCAAATCTTAGCTATTGTAAATTGTGCTGCTATGAATAGAGGGGTGCATATATGGTTTCTGATCAGTGTTTCTGATTTCTTAGGATATATTCCTAGAAGTTGGAACTCCCATCAGTCAATTCTTAAAGCCCAAGGGGCTTGTTCCCCTCTGTCTATAAACAGATGCGTTTCTCCCTTGTCCTAAAAAAAAATTCCTGGGCTCTGACATCCCCCCAGGCTGATATACTACTTTTTTCCCACAATTTCTTCAAAGGAAACTACACTTGACAATGTTGACCTCACTCTTGAACCCTCTGCAATCTGGCTTTCTCTCTACCTCTCTCTCTTTTTTTTTTTTTCCCCATAGAGCACCAGTGAGCTCCCAATGACAAAAGGATTCTTTGACTCTTTTTCAATACATGACATTGTTATTACCTTTTCCTTATAACCCTGTCATCCCTTGATTTATATGAAACTGTACTATACTAGTTATCACCCAACTATTCCTTTTTTGTCTCCTTTCTGGCATCTTTTCTCCTCCTAACCCCCCGCAAACAGGCATTCTCAAAAATTACATTATCTTCCTAGCTCAAAGTTTCTTACCATGGTGTGGGGCAGGTTTTAAAAAGTGACATCTGATTGAGTTGTTTTTTTTTTTTACGCTCACTCTGATGGCTGCTAAAAAGAATGAATTGAAAGTCAGCAGGAGTGGAATAGAAACTAGTCAGATATTGCTGAAGGTCCAGGTGAGAGATTAGAGTTCCAGGGCTCGGATAGCAGCAGTGTGGATGAAGGGAAGTGGATGTACAGTATTTAAGACATGTCTTGGAGGTGGAACCAATGTAAATTGCTGATGGATTAGATTTGAGAGTGAAGGAAAGAGCGAATACAAATAACTCTCAGGTTTCTGGCTTAGGCAACTTGATAGTTGTTGGTCTTGTTACTGAGCTGTGAAAGATGGGAAAGGGGTGGGAAAGACTTGGATGGGGAAATCAGGAATTTGGTTTGAAAATGTTAAGTAAGATGTAACTGACCTTCCAGTGTAGTTCTCTTAACTTCTTAGATAGTTCTCTTGACAATCTCAACCACTCATGACTTTAGCTATCTCTTTCTTATGTAGGGAAAAATGGGTTCAACACCTGCTTAACTTGTTGATTTATGAAATTCAACACTTTTAACATTTTTAAAATCTAACTTATGTTCATTCTGCTTTACCCTATGAGTTATCCCTCCGTGTTCTCTTCTGCGTTATATTGATACTACTAGACTCTTCACCAAGACTTTAAATTTAAGAGTTTTCACTGACTCTTTTCCATCTCTCTCTCACCAATATCCAAGTAGTAAGGAGGACCTATTGAACCTACCCTGTGCATTGTTTCCCCCTCTCTGCTCCCATTGCCCCTACCCTAGTTTAAATCATCATTACTTATTGTCTGGACCATTGTGACACTCTCCCAGCCTCTCGTCTTTCAATAGCTCTTCTTTCCTACACACTACTGCTGTAGAAAGTTTTAATATCTTCCCATTTTTCACAGGATGAGAAGTCTGTTTAGCCTGGCATTCAAAACCCTTCATTATCCAGCCCTTTCATCTAAACTACACTAGATACACTAGTATTCTCCTTTGTATTTTCACTTATGTTGGTGATGCAAGTCTGCATGCCCTCCCCTGGCTCCCATCTTCAAGTAAAATCCTGTCCATCTGCTAAGACCCCCTCTAATGACACTGAATAAGAATCCCAGTTGCCATTTAAGTACCAGTTATCAAATACTTGATGCTCATTTATTAAGTATTCTAAGCACCCTATATTCATTATCTGACTCGGCGTTGCATATGTTTTTGTGTGTGTATTTGTCTCATCACTATGAGCATGCAAATTCCCTGAGAACAGATCAAATTGAATTCTTAGCTGTACCATACTTAGTTGATGTCAGCTAAGAGTACCTTTATAATATATTTGACTGAATTTTGCAAATATATTTGACTGAATTTGTGCAGAGCTTTGAACTAGTTGCTATGGGAAAGTATAAAAGAAGCTGGAGGGCTTACATTCTAGTTAAAGAACACATCACAGGAAAAAGAAACATTTGCAGAATACGAAGTATTGTGGGGATACTAAATGGACGAATGAACAAATTTAGATTTAACACAGTCATCCTTGGAGGAATCAAGTTTATACAGTAAAGGCTTCAATGTCAGGCAGACCTGGTTTTGAATTCCTGCTTTTCTAAGTAAAAGGGCGTATTACAACCTCCTTCATAGGAATGTTGCAAGGACAAAATGAGATAATATATACAAGTGCATATTGCAATGCTCAATAAATATTTAGAGAGTAAAAAGCAAGGTAGATTTTTGAAGAAGGTATGGATATTGGGTTGTCTGAGGTGTGTTAGTAAGCCAGTTCAGGTTTCAGCATTGACCAGCTTGTATTAGTGCATAGGGTCCTCTAGGAACTTGGAAATACTGGTAATAATTCTAAAACTGCTTCAGAGTATTATTTAATGTGGACCCTCACATGAAACCTAAACAATTTCCCTAACTTTTCAACAGCTGCAAAAGCAAGGGGAGTTAAATCAGCAATCTCCAAACATTACAGAAAGTATCTGCTTACACCTTTAGTGCACATGAGTTTTTAAGGAGTAATTTGACATCATTGTTTGGAGTCTACCAAGCAATTTCCAGAGTACCAGCCAGCCTCTTGGGAAAGTGCTATCAGCTTTGCCAGAGTCAATTTGAGAGTGTTAACTCTTTTAAAAATTGATCACTTTTATCTATACACATGAGATTGTTAACTCTTAAAAACATGGATAGGTGATGAAAAGCAATGAGGCACAGAAGTTATTGTGTAAACTTTTCAAACCCTTTGTAGCATTAATTGGTCCTCCACCAAAAAAAAAAAAGTCACTCTGGTAGCTGGGCGGTACTCTTGGTGGCCACATTGTGTCTGTCTTTAATTATATGGGTGTGTTTTTAGATCGGAACAATTCATAAAAAGTTGAGGCTTTTTTTTTTTTTTTTTTTTTTTTTTTTTTTTTTTTTTAGCGCTAAAACTCAAATTCGCGGCTATTTTAGTAATTAACCCGGTTCTTCCGCTCCTCAAATTCCTCTAAACTACATCTCCCAGCATGCTGTGAAGCTCGTCTGACCTCATCTCAAATGGCCCCGTAGGGCAACAAGGATGGTTAGTTTTGACCGTGCTTATTTGTACCATAAAACATCGATCCTAATTGACAGTTATCTGGGCTTTTATATCTGCCAACCTGCCAACCTTTTTTGAACTGTGGTCACTAAATGAAGAGGTTCTGGCCTGGGAAGGCCCATGCATTCCTTCAATTGGATGGAGAGCGAGGACAGTGACTGGCGATCTGGAGAATAGGAGGGAATGTTGACTAGGGAGCACCGCTGCAGCCGATCAGAGGAGCAGGAACCGGAGCCTGGGCTGAGTCCGAAAAAAGCCGGATCCGGATGGTGGCCCCGGAACGGCTGGAAGTGGAAGATGGAGGAGCCAGAGGAGCCTGCGGACAGTGGGCATTCCCTGCCCCCGGTTTACATCTACAGTCCCGAGTATGTCAGCATGTGCGACTCCCTGGCCAAAGTCCCCAAAAGGGTAAGAGAACTTGGGATGAAAGTCCGTGGGCTTTTGCGGTGGGGGTGGGGTTGGGGGTAGAGGGGTGGACGGGAGGCATTAGGAAGCGAAGAAAATACTGGGCTGGGGGAAATCTTCAGCAGTAATTTGGGAAGTTGTACAAGGCGATGGAGGAAGTGTTCCCTTACAGTTTCCGAGGGTGCTGTGTTTATCAGTCGGGCGCCCAATGGACACATCTGGGGGCGGGAGGGCCGGAGGAGGGTCTGGCACTGATGGGTGGTGTCTCTACTGCAAGGGGTCCCTGAAGTGGTGGAGAAGCTGCAGGACAAAAGTGGTCCATCAGCTCCCTCAGGCCCCGTAGCTTTCTCCTTAGCGATTGGTATCTATATTGTCTGCAGTGCTTTGTAACTGTTATAAGTAAAGCGAAAAGAGTGGGGCTAAAAGTTCGTTCCTTTGTTCAGGATCATGATGTCCACTCAATTTCTCGGAATTAAACATTAAGGGACTGTTTTGTGCTTTCTTCTTTTTGCTGATGTTTTTAGGCCAGTATGGTACATTCTTTGATTGAAGCATATGCACTGCATAAACAAATGAGGTAAGTTATCTTTCATGAACAAAGCCCTGAACCCAGGTGGTCCTGGCCTTAAAATCCTGCTTCACGGTGGGACTAGTTAGGGAGAGAGTGGTGCTTCTTTTAAAGTTTTTTTGTGATTCATAGGGTATATAATTTGCCTGTAAAAGCTCTTTAAGTATTAAGAAAACTTGAAAAAAATGCATGAAGCACTTATGATCCATTTCAAATAGGACTTGACTGCTGAGAGGGAAAGAATCCTGGTGAACACACAATATAATATACACATGATGTGTTGTAGAATTTTATACCTGAAACCTATATAATTTATTTAAAGTTTGCTCTGAAAGAAGTAGAGCTTTTATTTTTATTTTTTTTATTGATTTCAGAGAGGAAGGAAGACGGAGAGATAGAAATATCAGTGAGAGAGAATCATTGATTGGCTGCCTCCTGCACACCCCACAATGGGGATCAAGCCTGCAACCCAGGCATGTGCCCTGACTGGGAATCGAACCGTGACCTCCTGATTCATAGCTCCACGCTCAACCACTGAGCCACGCCAGCCGGGCAAAACCTATACAATTTTATTAACCAATATCACCCCAGTAAATTCAATAAAAAATAAAAAGTCTCATAGGGATAGGTGCTTTGTGGAAATTTTGAGGTGAATACATTTGGGTACTAAAAAATAGGTGTTCAGCTAGGAGGTGTTCTGATTTGTTTTTTCCCCCTGAGCCAGATCTGAGGGTGCAGGTTCAACTTAAGACTTTTAGGCACACCATAACCACCACCAAACTTTAATGAGTGAGCCTGGAGACAAGTCAAAACCAAAGAAAACTCCTGTGACCAGGCATAGAGCTAAGTGCATTTTTTTTTTTTTTTTAAAAGTGAAATCACTGTCATTTTAAGAGTAAATAAGAGTAAAACCCTGACACTTGTAGAATTATTTATGATATTTTCTGGCAAATGTCTGTTTACACCTGTTAGTGTGATATGCCTCATTTCTCTCCCAGACGTACTGTAACAGGCTTTCAGATTTTATCCTTTTTATTAACTAAATCATTTATTGAGCGCCTTCTTTGGGAATGTTTTTCAACCCATTTATTTGATAAACATAAAAACGAATGCCTTCCATTAAAGCCATTTAACATTTCAAAAGCTGACTGAAAGACCAAACAAGAAAGCAAAACAGAGTAAAACTATCACATTTCCTTGCTGGGTACATGGGGAGGCTTTCAGTAAGCATTAAGTAAGAGGAAGGTTGCTAGAAGAACTATTAGGGCTGGGAAACATGGTCCAAGAAACTAAAAAGTTTATTTTAATGGGCAAATTTGTCACTTCCAAGGATGTAGACATGTTTTCTTGAAGAAGGAGCAAGAATCAAATCCTCCAATCTTGGCTATATATAATTTTTGAGGCGGAGCCTCAGGATTCTTCTGGCCTGTTTGGTGATTACCCTAACATGAAAAGTCATAGTAATTCAGGAGAAACTTGTAGCTGTGCTGGGCCAGCATAGCCAAGGGTTCTGTGAGCCTGAGGGGTGGGGGGTGGAGGGCAGCGAAGGATGTAGAAAAGACAAAGAGAATAAGCTGGATATAGGAGGATCTCCTGTGCCTGGCTGAGGCCACAGAGGGCAAGCTGAGCCTTTATTTTATAGCTGGAGGTAAACAAGGTAGTGGTCACTATAGTTACAATGTTCTTGTGAGTTTCACTTGTTTTGGCAGCACTTGCTGCACCTCCCACAGCCCATTAGCTTCCCAGATAAGATCTAGGGCAGTGGCTCTCAACCTTGGCTGCACATTAGAATCACCTGGGAATCTTGCTAAAATTCTGATTTCTGCGCCTCATCCTCCGGAAATTCTGTTTCTTTGTTACTAATGTTGTGGCCCCACCCCATAACAAAGAAAGAATTTCCGAAGGATGAGGCCCAGAAATCAGGATTTTAAAAAGATTCCCAGGTGATTCTAATGTGCAGCCAAGGTTAAGAACCACTAATCTAGGGAGTCATAAGGCCAAGCCTAATTATGCTAAGAGGGCTGTGCCCTCTAAGCTGGGACTTGTTTGTGGCTTTGCCAACAGGTCAGTCCGAGGCTTAACCCTATAGCTGCTCCCTACCTGTGGCCCTGTTCCCAATTAACCAACATTAAAAAAACAGTACTGCCTCCTTGTGGCCTAGGTTATTGCTTTTCCAACTTAAATATGCATATGAATTACCTTGTTAAAATACAAATCTGACTCAGTGGGTTGGAGGTTAGGCTAAATTCTGCCTTTCTAACAAGCCCCCAGGTGATGCTGCTGTCAGTCACAGACCACCCTTTGAGTGGCCTGGGCAGTAGAGACAGTGGTGGAATCAGGAAGAGGAAATAGGGAATAAATAGGCAGCTAGAAGTTACAGGTGGTAAGTCCTGTCAGTAGCTTAGCATCTGTATTCTCTCAGTCACTTCTGTTTGTCACTTCTTGTGAGGAATTGGTTGGGAGCTTCTGGGTAAAGCCCAGCTCCAACTGTTTGCCCTTCCTCTCCTTCTCCTCAGAGGCAGGTGTGAGGGACCAAACACAGGAACTTTTATGTTTTGGGTTGCCTTTTTCTATCCTTTAATATTAACAATGATTATCCACAAAGCATTTTATATATGTTATCATATAAGTTCCATAAGATCGCCCCACTTTACAGATGAGGAAACTGAGCTACAGAAGAATTCTTATCTGAGGTTATAGAGCTGGTAAGTACAGTTAGTACAGGAATATAGTTATCTGACTCCAAATTCAAAATTCATAACAATATAACTGCCTATGAAAGTAAAAATATAGCTGAAAGGATTACATGGCCCAATTAGCTGATTCAGATGAAAATATCTCAGCCTGCTGATTTGTCATGAAATTTATAACTCTCAAAGTAATGTCCAATATCTGATTACTTAACTTAAATATACTTTCTTTTACTACCTATACACTCAAGGGAAAAATCTATCCTCTCACCCCCATTAATGGAGCCATTACATAGTTGTGAGGAAATAAAGACTACTGGTATATAGTGGATTGGAAAAACAGAACATGTTTATTACTTTAGCCACTGGAACAAGAAGCTAGTTATATTTTCTGCTCATATCACTAGTTCCTGCTTCTAGTTTTTGGCATGCTCTGGATCTGACTCACTCACCTCTCCTTGTTCTCTGTTATTATTAGAATAGTTAAGCCCAAAGTGGCTTCCATGGAGGAGATGGCCACCTTCCACACGGATGCCTATTTGCAGCATCTCCAGAAGGTCAGCCAAGAAGGAGATGATGATCATCCAGACTCCATAGAATATGGCCTAGGTAATGTTATTACTAAGCAATGGTGGGAGATATACAACCTCCATTTATATATCAGTACTACTTAATCTTTTATAACTTGCATGGTGGTCTTCAATACTTTTTAAATTAAGGACTAATGTGTTAACCACAACTTAATCTCTCAGTTTAGCCACATACATCTCACTTAACAAGCAAACCATTTGAATTGAGCAGAACTGAATGATGGATCAGATGGAGAAAATTCTTCCAGTTGCTTGGGTCTGGCTGTATATATGCTGATTTAACTGTCCAGTTACCTTATCTTTTAACTTGAATACAGATTTATGTTGTGGCTAAGTTTTCTACTTTATCTTTCATTAAACAGCTGCATTTAAAACAATTGGAAGCGGCCAATAGCATAATCTAGAGAAACAACATAGTTTAGTAGAAGAACTGGACTGAGGGCAGGGCAAGAGACGTGTGTCCCAGGTCTGGCTCTTTGTGACCATAGAGAAGACATATCTCCTATTAGACTTCAGTATCTCCATCTATGGGACATGACAAGTTAATCTTGAAGGTTTAGCCCAGGGGGCCAGTTCACTGTCCCTCAGACCGTTGGAGGGCCGGACTATAGTTTAAAAAAAAACTATGAACAAATTCCTATGCACACTGCACATATCTTATTTTGAAGTAAAAAAACAAAACGGGAACAAACACAATATTTGTATTTGCATGTGGCCCGCGGGCCGTAGTTTGAGGACCCCTGGTTTAGCCTTTCTACCTCAACACTTTAAATAATTCTTTTCTCGATATTAGAGATGTTTCTCTCTTGTTTGGAGTAGCTTTTTGGTAGGGTATGTTGTTGTCGTACTTCAACCTATTCCTCCTAAGAGGGTTCTGGACCCACTTCCAATGTGTGGAGGGAGGGGTTTACCCCCACACCACCAAGCAATGCTCATGACATCAGCTGGGTGTCCTGCAGTTCAACTCAATTCTGACACTATCTACCTGGAGATGGTATCAAATTCCACAGGTAAAGGGCTTAGTCCCTCAAGACTGCTGCTCATTTCATATGTCAATCACAAGCCCAGGCTGTTACCTGTACTTCTGACCCACTCCTTAGGTTTGATTAATTTGGTAGAGCAGCTCACAGAACTCAGGTAATCCACTTACTCTCTAGATTACCTATTAATTATACAGGTGACCCTTGAATAATGCAGGTTTGAACTGTGCAGGTCCACTTTTATGTGGATGTTTTTCAGTAAATACTATAAAATGTTTTTTCTCTCCCTTACGATTTTCTTAACCTTTTCTCTAGCTTACTTTATTGTAAGAATACAGTATACATACATATAGCATACAAAATATGTGTTAATTGATTATTTTTGTTATTGGTAAGGCTTCTGGTCAGCAGTAGTCAATTAGTAGTTAAGTTTTTAGGGAATCAAAAGTTACTACATGAATTTTCAATTATTCAGCACGGTTGGCCCCTCAACCCCTTTGTTGTTCAAGAGTCAACTGTAAATGGCTATAACTCAGGAGCAGCCAGATGGAAGAGATGCTTAATGCAAGGGATAGGGGGAAGGATGCAGTTTCCATGCCCTCTTCAAGTGTGCCACCCCACCCAAATCTCCACATGTTCATCAACCCAGAAGCTTTCTGAACCCTCTCCTATTGGGTTTTTATGGAGACTTTATTACATAGGTATGATTGGTTAAGTCATTGATCAGTTGGTGATTGAACTAAATCTCTAGCTCCTCTCCCCTCACTAGAGGTCAAGGAGTGGGACTGAAACTTCCAACCCTCTAATCACATGGTTGGCTCCACTGGCAACCAGACTTATCCTTAGGTGTGGTCTACTGGTTGCCTCATTAACATAACACAGACACCTTTATGGATTGCTCTCATCACTGGGGAAATTCCAAGAGTTTTGGGAGCTCTGTACCAGAAATGGGGACAAAGGTCAAATATATTTCTTATTATAAATCACAATATCATACCTCCTCTTTCTCCAATTCATCTTTTAACAAGCTCTTTGATGTTTTCCCAAAGGTTATGACTGTCCAGCTACAGAAGGGATATTTGACTACGCAGCATCTGTAGGAGGGGCTACAATCACAGCTGCCCAATGCCTGATTGATGGAATGTGCAGAGTAGCAATTAACTGGTCTGGAGGGTGGCATCATGCAAAGAAGTAAGAAAATGACCTTTCTGCTTTCTGCCTCTTTTCTTGAGTCAGTTCCTCTGTTATGTAAGCTCATATGCTTATTGTATTGGCATTTATTGATATATATATATATATACACATATATATATATATATATTTATTTTAAAAGCATAATATGCTCATTATACCAGACGAAGCTGGGACTGCAAGGGAAGCCCGAGTCCCAGGTGCCAGAGGGAAGCCAGTGCCAGTAGCCGGGTGAAGGAAAGCCTACTCTTGCATAAATTTCGTGCATCGGGCCTCTAGTGTGTGTGTGTGTGTGTGTGTGTGTGTGTGTGTGTGTGTGTGTGTATCTGTATATTAACACTTTACTAGACATTCTGAAGAGATGCAAGTGATATAGATGACATAATATAGTGGAAAGCAAACTATAGAATGTCAGGATGTTCAGCTTTTTCTGCAAACTTTGCTAACTGACTAGGACAGATTAACCTCTCTAGGCCTCAGTTTCGACCTCAGGAAAATGGGCAGGGCAAAGGATATAATCTCAAAATTCCTTTTCATCTTTCTGGAAATCCCCATCTTTAAGGGATTTATACTGTAGAAACATTAACAAGACTAGAATAATAATGGAGCAACATCAGTTTTGGTACCAATTGAATATACATATGAACTGAAGAAATTTAACATCAGGGAGAAATTAATCATGGAAATCTTAGAAAAGGTGGATTGTAGAACTAGGTCTTGAAAGATTTTCAAGTAGGTGGACAAATGATGAGAATAGATTTAAAACAAAAGGGTGAAGAATCAAGAAGAAGTCTTATGCTGCCACCTCTAAGGAAAGTAACAGCTGAGAGGTGTCACTCTGAGAAGAAAGGGCTTGGGAAACATCTATTCTTAGGTGCTACTTGGAATTAGAGAAAAAGTCCTTTTGGAGTTTTGTGTTAGTCTTTCGAACAGCTACATTCTGTATCTGACAAGGACTGCCAGGCCTTAGCATTCAGCATCTTGCTTGATATGTTTGTACTATCTACACAAATAAAAGACAAAGATGCTAATTGACCGTACCTTCGCTATGCCCTAAGCCATGCCCACCAGCCAATCAGAGTGACTATATGCAAATTAACACACCCAAGATGGTGGCCGGCAGCCACAGAGCTAGAGCAAGCAGGTGGCTTGGTTGCCCGGGCAATGGAGGAAGCCAAGCTTCCCACCAGCTCTGAGCTGGCTGTGGCCTCCACAAAAGGCAACAAAGTTTCAATTATAGAAGACAAATAAATCCCAGATACCTACTTCCAGCCAGCCTCCACTGGGAGCTTGGGTGGCTGGGGGCTGTGGCCAGCCTGCAAACAGCCATCAGCCCCTCATTCAGAATGGCCACACCCTCATGGGGTAAGGGTTCCTGCTGGGGGGCATAGCCAGCCTGAAAACGGCCCTCAGCCCCTCACCCAGACTGGCCAGGCACCCCAGCAGGACCCCCCACCCTGAAGGGGCTGTGGCCAGCCTGCAAACGGCCCTTAGCTCCTCACCCAGGATGGCCAGGCACCCCAGTGGGGACCCCCACACTGAAGGGGCTGTGGACAGCCTGCAAACAGCCATCAGCCACTCACCCTGGCTGGCCACACCCTCATGGGGTGAGGGTCCCTGCTGGGGGGCTTGGCCAGCCTGCAAACAGCCATCAGGCCCTCACCCAGGCTGGCCAGGCACTCCTATATAATAAAAGGGTAATATGAAAATTGACCCTAACAGCAGAACGACTGGGAATGACTGGTCACTATGACACACACTGACCACCAGGGGGCAGATGCTAAATGCAGGAGCTGCCCCCTGTGGTCAGTGCGCTCCCACAGTGGGAGCTCTGCTCAGCCACAAGCCAGGCTGATGGCTGCCAGTACAGCGGTTGTGGTGGGAGCCTCTCCCACCTCCTCAGCAGCGCTAAGGATATCCAACTGCAGCTTAGGCCTGCTCCCTGCTAGCAAGTGGACATCCCCCGAGGGCTCCCAGGCTGCCAGAGGGATGTCTGACTGCCAGCTTAGGCCCAATCCCCCGGGGAGCGGGCCTAAGCCAGCAGGTGGTCATCTCCTGAGGTGTCCCAGACTGCGAGAGGGCACAGGCCGGGCTGGGGGCCCCCCAAGTGCACAGAGTTTTGTGCACCGGGCCTCTAGTTTAATACATGTTGAAGAAAAAAGATTTTTAAAACTCTGAATCAATGTGCTAATGTATCATCCACACACCAGTTGTTCATACCATCGGTCATGACCTTTATATTCTTGAGTCTGGAGAAAACAGCACTCTGTTTTTTTCAGAATAAAACCTTGAACACAATTTCAACATATGCAGGTTAGGATAATAACATGGGATTCTTTTCATCAAATCGACAGATTTCATAACCATGGAAGTCCTTAAGAAAGTTTACTACTGAAATCTACGAGGTGATGGAGGAAAGACAACCAGTGTTTAGCAATAAGTTTTGCATGGACTTAAAAACAAAGAGAAACAACCTGCCTTTTGTTAGTTTTTGCTCTATTAATCCATTGTATGCCATAAGTGTCTGTAGACGCGAGAGGCAGACCTTCCCCATACACCGCGTGTGTCTATAAAAAAAAAAATGTTGCCTGGCCAGCGTGGCTCAGTGGTTGAGCATCAATCTATGAATTGGGAAGTCATGGTTCAATTCCTGGTCAGGGCACATGCCCGGGTTGTGGGCTTGATCCTCAGTGTAGGGCATGCAGGAGGCAGCAGATCAGTGATTCTCTCTCATCACTGATGTTTCTATCTCTCCCTCTCTCTTCCTCTCTGAAACCAATAAAAACATATTTTTAAAAAAAAATGTTTTCCGTAAGTGGTGGTCCTGACGAACTTTAAAATAATTTTTCGTGAGACTTTTTAGCTGAATATATTCAAGAACACCTGAATTGTAAGTAATATATTTATTTTTATAATATTCATTGCAAATTGATTTTTTTAATTAAATTCAAAATATCGTGGCATGTGGGGATGGTTTCCATTTTGGATGCATGGTAGTTAACTGGTTAAAAAAATTCAGCAATCCCAAAGAGGGAAAAAAAGCCTTATTTCCTTGAAGCTCCAGATAAAGGGGAAAGGACCACTTTCCCTGAACCAAGGACTTATATGCCTTCTTCTGCTTAGTGAATTGAGAAGAACAGTGTGGTTTCATGGAAAATGCCTGGTCCTATGAGTCAAATCTAGTTTGAATGTGGCACTTGGAGGAGGTTATGTATGTATTTTATTTTTAAAAAATTTTAATGCTCTTAATCTATGACTATACCTTCTTAATGCTACATCAGAAGTTGATTCATCGATGCTGAATTCAGAAAACATAAGCAAGAGAGATCCAGCATTTTATTGGGACTGTACAATTAAGCGCAGTACTAGGCATTATGATTCTAGAACAAAAATAAAAATACACAAAAGTGGTATAGTGAGGAGCTTATGCATTTAAATTCATTGCTTCAGGCCTGCTAGGGTCTGGGTCATTTTCCAGTGGAATATCCAGATACCTGATACTTCTTATCACTGTTTTGCTGCCAAAGGAAGAACACTCTATCTTAAGCCAATCATGGTTGCTTCTGGGCTGTGTGTAGATGTGGGCCTACCCACACACCATTATTATAACTATTCCAGACAGCTTTCAGCTGATCCTACTTTGAAACAGACACACCTGTGGTAAAAATAAAAATTAGAGAGTTTCTAGGGATTGCCCCAATTCAGGGGTTCTTGACACCTTTAGACCCTCTCTGCAGATGGACTACAGGCATTTAGTCTACAAACTTACATCTAGCCCAGCATTTGTCTGTTGTAACCACAATGTTTCTCCATTCCCAAATATTTCTGTACATTCATACATGAATTTTATTCATTCAACATGAGTTGATTAAGAACCTACTATATGTCAAATATATGTTTATCATGACTAGTAAGCAGAGGTATATAAATTAAAACATGGTATATTTTCCCCCTAACGATTAAAAAAAAAAAAAAAAAAGAAAGAAACCGCCGAAACCGGTTTGGCTCAGTGGATAGAGCGTCGGCCTGCGGACTGAAAGGTCCCGGGTTCGATTCCGGTCAAGGGCATGTACCTGGGTTGCGGGCACATCCCCAGTGGGAGATGTGCAGAAGGCGGCTGATCGATGTTTCTCTCTCATCGATGTTTCTGACTCTCTATCTCTCTCCCTTTCTCTCTGTAAAAAAATCAATAAAATATATTTAAAAAAAAAAAAAAAAAACCTTTACCTCAAAATATCCAGGTACTGACAGATTATAATGAAATTGGCACATTCTTTTTGAAAACTTTGTGCCGGGGTCCAACCCCAGCAGGTCCAGGGGTCCCCAAAGGCGTAGACGGAGTCGGCGAAGAAGGAAGGACACGGAGACAGTGTTCAGTTGATCAGCAGTCTAGCCAGGATCTCTAGCCAGGATCTCCAGCCAAGTTCTGGTCTGGATCTCCAGCGAAGTTCTGCTGCTCTTTATTGTCTTGTTACATCCGTATTTATCCCAGTTGATTTTAATCCTGTCAATTTCTATTACAAAGGTTAAGGCGTTTCTTATCTCCATTCCAGGGAGTAAAGATTATGTAGCTTAAGCATGATTGTTTGTAGTGATTAACTACCCGCCTGGCACTTAGTTAAGGAGTTTCATCCCCTCCCTGACTTCAGGGAAAAATTCCTACCTGGGAAAACAACCTTTCTAGGAGAGGCATCCCCTCCCTGACTTCAGGGAAAAATTCCTACCTGGGGAAACAACCTTTCTCGGAGAGGTGACCTTGGTTAAAACACACAGCGCTAAGGGGAGCAAACATATTAAGAACAGTATGCTATATACGCCAGGTCCCTTGAAACATATGCTGTGCAGATGTTTCTTTCCTGCAGCGACTGTGTCAAGCAGCAAGGATGGACCGGCTTCCGGCAACTTTGGAAATAAGCGTTAAAAGAGTGAGGAAAATGTTCATACCTCTTGACCCAGTAATATTATTCCTAGCAATCTATTCTAATGAAATAAACCAATTC